AAAGGATTAATGACGTTACTCATTGCTGTTTTGGCTGAACGGATCCAGTTGAACCAAGGAGATGTCATTTACCCAGAATCCATTGCAGAATGAACAACAGGGCAGCATTCATGTGACAATATTTCATTAACATTTATATAAACTAAATAGCCTACAGTATTGTTATTGTATTGTTTTTACATCTAAAATAAATATTTCTCAAATATGGTCTGTTGTTATAACTAATCATGGATCCCTTTAACTTTCTTCATTCTACAGTCGTACAGCAAGAGGCCTACAAAGCACTTATGAACTTTACATTTGAAACATTACTTAAGGCAGTACTTGTGAAATAGTGGGGTGCGGCCCCCAGGGGGGCATGGTGAGCTGCTAGGAGGGACGTGAGAAACACGACTTTATAATTGTCTTTATTCACAAGCCTCATAAGGACCAATCAGTCACCCGATGTGGTGCTTTGTGTAAGGAAAATGGTTGTCTTACAATGTATTAAATACAAAGTCACACACACACACACACACACACACACACTATTCCTATCTTTGCAAGGCATTTGGATTGACATCCACTTGGGCCCCATAGAACGCAGCGAGTCATCACTATGTAATTTATTTGTTGGAAAAAATGGGTCTTATAAGATGAGAAAGCTAAAACTCTCTCTCTCTCACACACACACACACACACACACACACACTTAAAATCATGCTTGTGAACATAAAAACTAGCAGGTATGGTTTTGAACTGTGGGACAACCAAGGATCATGTAGAGAAAAATAATGGAACATGATCCATAACAAAATTCTCAAGTGTTTTATTTAAAATAAGTCATAAAATCACAAGATAATAAAGACAGCTTAACTATGAACACCATTTTTTTTTTACCACTGAATTTTTGGCTCCAATAAGAACATTTGATATGAGCAGGTGTCCATGTTAAACCTGAGAGAATGAATAAAGAGGATATATTATGCCTGGGATTGGGAGCAAAAGCACAGGGTGGGAGTTTGAAGAAATAAAGTGTTTTTGAGCCAGAGCAGTGTGCATTCCTGAGAGAGGACAGTGTTGAACAGATGTAATCAGCAAGTGTGAAAGCAGAGGCAATAACTCCACATGGCAAAAGGTGGAGAAGTGAATCTGTCTCTGTCAAGAAGGTGTATGAAAGTATGAAAACATGAAAACTAAGCCAACTGATAAGGAAGCAAGAGGTGAAGTACAGAATATTGAGAGCAGGAAGTAGGTATTAACACAAGTATATGACTGCACTCTCAAACAATACATAGTACTTCAACATCTGTAAAGGTTCAATAACTAGTTACACATCCCACCTGCAACTGATTATTTAACACCATAAACCTCATTACTACTTATACAAATGGCAAAAGACGCAGGCAAGCCGAACAAAGACTTATTCTGGACTCTAAATTGAAGTCAGCTGAGCAAGCCTATCAGATCAGACCTACCCTGGCGAAACTTAAACACTTTCAAATGTTTTTACGAGAACCTTTATAAATCCCAGGTCTCTAGTGACACTACAGAGTTGATGAACACCTTTTTTTCCAACTTCAACCTTCCTTGTCTGACAGAAATTCAAAAGTCAACGTTAGATAGCCCTATAACCATTGAAGAAGTCAGGGAGGCCATTAAAGGTCTGCAGTCTGGTAAAGCGGCAGGGCCTGACTTTCTTACTGTAGAATTTTACAAAGAGTTCGCTACCCTCCTAGTCGAACCACTGCTGCACATGTTTAACGACTCTTTCCAAAAGGGTCACTTGCCCATGTCGTTGAGGGAAGCCAATATATCCTTAATACTTAAAGGGAACAAACCACCGGAAGATTGTGCCTCATACAGGCCAATTTCCTTATTAAATGTGGACTTAAAGATCCTTTCAAAAATATTAGCAAGACGTTTGGAGACTTTACTCCCAACACTTATCAATGAGGATCAAACTGGCTTTATTAAGGGACGTAGTTCATTCAATAACATGCGTAGGCTGCTCAACGTGATCCAGTTCTTCAATCAAAGTGCAATGTCTGGTTTAGTGGTCTCCCTAGACGCCGAAAAGGCATTTGATCGTGTGGAGTGGTCATACCTTTTCTACACTTTGAGAAAGTTTGGTTTGGGGGAAAATTTTGTTAACTGGATCAGAATACTTTACAGTGAGCCCTGTTCAGCTGTTATCACTAATGGTCTACGATCACCAAATTTTCAGGTGCGGAGGGGAACACGCCAAGGCTGCCCCCTTTCGCCCCTGCTTTTCGCTTTAGCTATAGAGCCTCTGGCAGAGGCAGTACTGGCCCATGGGGGTATAGGCGGTCTAACCATTGGAGAGAGACAACACAAGATTACTTTATATGCTGACGACGTGCTCATATTTTTATCTCGGCCTGAGGACTCTATTCCACTTCTCATAGAGACCATTAACAGGTTTGGGGATTTTTCGGGTTATAAAATCAATTTTAACAAATCAGAGGTTATGCCACTAGGCTTATTAAAACATCAACCGTCTATGCCTACCCCATTCCCTTTCACTTGGTCCCCAGAAGGATTCACATATTTGGGAATAAAAATCACCCCCTCTTTTGACACAATATATAAGGTGAATTTCACTCCCTTATTCCAACGTATCCGGCTGGACCTTGAAAGATGGAAAACATTGCCTCTCTCTTTGGGGGCCGCGTGTCTCTCTTAAAAATGAATGTCTTACCCAGGCTTTTATATCCCATACAAATGATCCCAGTTCTTTTTCTCCGTAAGACGATTAAGACTTTAAATGGGTGGTTAAGTTCTTTCATATGGGCAGGAAGGAAACCACGGTTAAAAATTTCTACACTGTGTCTCTCGTCCGCAAGTGGAGGCCTTGATCTCCCAGACATACGAAAGTATCAGATCAGCGCTCACATGCGTGTTGCCGCTGATTGGATAAGGGTTCTGCCTCTCTGTGGCTTGATATAGAAAGCTCTATGTCCAGGTTTCCTTTACAAAATTTATTATTCCTGAAGAAAAAGGATACTATAAAAAAGTACTGCAGTAATCCCATTACTATTAATACTGTGAGAGCTTGGCAAATGGTTAAAAAATTGGAGGGTAGGTTCCAAATTATATCACCTCTTACACCATTTGTGATAACCCTATGTTCCTACCAGGCACTATGGACTCTGGCTTTAAAACATGGTCAATGAAGGGAATTCGAACACTTTCGGACTTGATGGGAGGTGCTGCGTTATTATCGTTCTCTCAGCTAATGGATAGATATGACATTGGGAGGCAGGATTTCTTTCGCTATCTACAAATTAGAGATTTCATACAGAAAAAAACCACACTCGAAGCAGACCAAACGATTTCGGTGTGTGAAAAACAGTTATTCTCCCCTAGGGTACAAATTTCAATTAAAACCTTTTACAACTTATTGAAAGAGTACCCCTTGTCAAATACAACACATTTGAAAGAAGTTTGGGAAAGGGAATTACAGTGGGAAATAAATCCGGAGGAATGGGACGAGGCTTGGAAGAATGCAAGTCTCTAAGTATTTGTAATCGGGTTAAGGCCATTCAATTGAAAATCTTACACCGGGCGCACATCTCTCCTTCTCAACGAAGTAAGTTCAGTGTTAGCCTCTCGCCATTGTGTCTAAAATGTAAAATAGAGACTGGTAGCCTTACACATTGTTACTGGTCCTGTTGGAAAATTCAACATTTTTGGTGTATAATAAAATGTGAATTAGATAAGATTTTTTCTGTTTGCACACAATTCAATCCATTGTATTTCCTACTCGGTTTGACTGACACCAGTTTACCTGGCAAATATCAGCGTCAACTTTACAGAATGCTTACTTTTTGTGCAAGAAAATGTGTGATACTGAACTGGATTTCTGACAAAGCACCAAGTAAATCACAATGGCTAAATACAGTACTGGGTTATATATCCTTGGATTACTTAACGAGCAAACTGCACGATAAAGAAGACAACTTTCATAAAGTTTCGGAGCCTTTTATATCCTATGTAGGATTTGAAATTTCTGCATCTTTCTGGAGAGGATTTGTAATTTGAGGGGGACTGAATTGCAAACATCTGAAATGCTTTGGTGTGGACCATTTGTATTACACTGCTATTATTGCTGTGTTTCCTTTTTCTTTCCTCTTTTTGTATGCAACTGTAAGAGCTGGACTGTTCTTTTGTTCTTGTATTGTATTTGTTCATTTGTCAAAACATTGAAAACTAATAAATATACTTATTAAAAAAAAAACATCATAAACCTGCAACTGATTAATATTATATAACTCTTACATTTAAAATTAGAAACTGATTAAAGTTACAATAAGTCAGTTGAATGAATTTATTTGAAAAATGGATGAAAGTTATATTGTATATCATAGTTGTATCCAGTAAATTAGAATGCATTGTCAGATTGAAACATGTATGAAAAATATATTTGTGAGCCTACATTTGTACCTTATAAAAGTTTTTTAAGTGTAATCTTAAATATTATGTGTTTATTAGATGCAAGGGAATAATGATCAAAGTTGTGGCTGAAATAGAAAGTCATTTCACTTCTTTCAACTATTCAGGAAATGTGATTATTTAAAAATAAATGTAATAATTTCTCTATGCTATGCTCAGTTACATAAAACTTATTTTCTTTAACTCTACAATATACCAAGGAAATTTTGTTCAGTTCAAGAAAAAAAAGACAGCTCTGCATAAAGTCTGGATGATTCCTTTTTTTCTCTGATGGATAATCTGAATCTTTGACATATCGGCCTTCCAGATATAACAATATACTAATGCTCTGAAAACATTTAGTAAGTGATAATCCAGCATTGCCTTCCTCTGCATCTAATACTGTCACAGAGCTACGCAATATTCAAGTTCAAAAATCTAAATCTTATTATGAAATAAACTCCAAAGTGGAATGACTAAGAGAGAAAATCTCTTTGCTTTCCAAGTGTCCTTTTAAAAAGACATGATCTGTTCCTGCTGTTCTGTTGAATTATTGCCTCAGTGAGTTGTTGCCAAATCATTTCCTTTATTTCAGAAAATCTAATTACAAGTATTTCAAAGTAAAATACATAATTTTCTGCTGAAGAAATGTACAGTACAATATTTATAAAGACCCCTTTTACAATATCCTCAGTTTCTATTAACATTTCAGGCAAGAACTGAAAACAACACTAACACATGAACCGGTATATTAATAGATGTCTTAATTCCCTTTAGAGAGAAAACAAGGATGTGTCATATTCACAACATCCTCTCCACATTTAAGAGGATTTTGCACCAATAACAACAAAAGCAGAGATGGAAGAGGTTTCACTGTTTGGCACTGCAAGCCAAATGTTTGGGCAAGTACAAACAAAAGACTTTTACTTAGAATATTGGTCTTCATTTCAGACAAAGGCAATAGCAAAACATCTAATGCAGTCCGAGTCTGTACAGTCAATCGCATGACATGATAGGAGAGGTCCAGCAGCTCTGACAACAAATGGAAAACACTTTGAACTCAACAACACGGGTCAGTTCAGTTCTTCTCCAGCACAGGGAATGAAATCCTTAAAACAGCCACAAGATTTTCAACCAGAGATAAACCAAGAACTTGACATGACTCTATGCTTATGGGTGGATGTTTGTGGGCATTTCAAATTTTATTGTAGACATGGAGTTTGATCAGAGCAGTCGGTGCTGATGTGATTTTATAGGTGGTATTGGGTTTTTAAATTGCTGTTGGGAGAATGACTGAAACGGTTTAATTCTCCACAGACGCAGCTGAATGAAAATGTCCCAGTAATCCTCCTGTGGGAGAGCGCAGCCAGTTATACGGTTAAAAAAAAGCATTTAATTTCTTTGTGTGGAACAACTAGAATGTTCAGTATCATTTTGATTTCCTCTAACAGATCTCATCCTCCATGACAAGCTTTTCATTTCTTCAAACACTTGACATGGGAGCTGAACTCAAGATCAGTGATGAGCATATCAATACGAGGGTTTTATTAGAAGCAAACCAATAAATAAAGATGAGTTGGAAATACTGACATCAGGAACATGACATTATTAGCTTTTCCGTGAGGTTTTGGTGCCAGTTGGTCGTATAGTGCCTGACTTTTTCAGGTAGGAAATAGTTCCATGGAGTTTGTGGTGGTTTGCTTCTGCCTGCAAACATCTTTACATTGAGCCCACAGTAGAGTATAACACCACAGTGCAAAAACTTACAGATGTTTTATATATATATAATTATAAAATGATTGCACATAAAACTGATCAGCTGCTGGAACATGAGAAAGCTCCTCATACTCCTCTGATATGGAATGTTCAGCATTCCATTGATTTCTACCATTTTGGAGGAATCAAAAATGGTAGTGTATGCAGAAAGTCTTTAAATGTAAACAGCATTGATTGACCAGTAAATTATATGATGAAATATTTACATGAATTACCGTTTTGCTGATGCAATACCTCAAACAACTGAAAGTATGCAGAATCAGTGTGCAGAGGTTCAACAGTTTTTTCTCGTATTATATAAAAAAATAATAATATTATTGATGATGAAAACAACCACCTCTATTTCAGTTTGAGATTAGCAACTGTGCAGAACTGGAGGCCCTGACAGCAACAGTGTTCAGGCCATGGTGTATCCATAGCTCCCACAGTGCAGAGCTACCAGCAGTCGGTCTTGGAGAACCTCCTGGTTCGGATACTCTGGCAGTTTCAGCATGTTGATGCTAAAAAATAAAGAAAAAACGGACAGTTAGCAGGTTGGTTGTCATGGTAACAGGTGTAGTGAAGCTATGGATTGTCAATCACTCCCAGACATCTTTGGGTGTTTTAAAAAGAGCTGTTTGATTTACTATTATGATGATGACAATGATGATGAAGATCCTCTGTCGACCAAACTGAAACCCCTCCCTGTTCTTGGAGGTGTTTGATCAGCCAACAAGCAGGGCAGATATGACACATGTCTTCAGCTGAGCATCAAGTTTAAAGGTATTTCATGGGTGTCAGATTAGTGGAAACGATATTCTTCCACATCCAATTTTATTGAGTTATAAACTAATTAGATTTAGAAACCACATGCAAAAATATTTGATTCTTTTTGCATAAGAATCAATGCAAAACATGTAGGATGACTTCAGTGTTTGTGACTTAATCTTATTTTACTTGAGGATAGGTAATAGTTGCAGATGCTGCACTTAAAACCTCTCCCATACTAATTCTTACTTATGTTCTTATTTAATAATAATTATTAATAAGTTGCTTCAGTATTTTGTTTATCCCAGGAATAGATTGTTAAATTGGCTTAACTGCCGTTTAGGACAAATTTAGGCTTTTTTGTACTGTAGATACTTTTGTTTTATTATTCTATTACTGAATTAAAAGAAAACTAAATTTGTTTTTGAAGCAGTGAAATTTTTCTTCAAGTTTTTCTTCATAAGTTGGTATATAACCCTAATTTATTTTTTTCTTTTTGCAAATTCTCTGAAACATTCTCTGTTTTTCTCTCCCTAAAGCTGAACTCCTTTGTGTCCCTGTGTGTATGTACTGTGATGTGTTTGCCTGGCAGAAACTCTTCCCTCCAAGATTATTCAGATGTGTTAGTTACCATGTCAGGAAGGACGGAAACACAAAGTGCCCCAGGACATTATGACATTTAGTTAAAGACATTTAAACTAAATCAAGTCAAAATGTTCAGTTTTACCACAAGTGCTGGCTTTACCCAAAATACCAATGTAAGCTCAGTGGGTCTAAAGCACAAACGTTAAACTCCGGTCCTCAAGGGCCGCTGTCCTGAAGTTATTAGATGTATCTCAGGTACAAAATACTGGAATGAAATGACTTACTGACCTGCTCCTTTGTGTAGATCAGTTCTCCAGAGCCTTGCTAATGACCCAATTATTCTTTTCAGGTGTGGCGCAACAGAGGCACATCTGAAAGTTGCAGGACACCGGCCCTCCAGGACTGGAGTTTGACACCACTGGTCTAATGGCTCAGGAGAGATGGGTGACCTCTGACCTTTTTCTATAACACTGAGTCTCTCCATTGTGTTGAATTTTCTCATGCAGAGAACAGAAGGACCAACCGCAAAAGTAGCAAACAGTGGTGGAGCAGTAAATGAGCTTGGTTTAAGCATCAGGTTTTTAGCGTCATTTTACAAAATGAAACCATGAATATCTATGTGAGTCATTTGATGCCGTTTAGTTCCTGCCTACTGAAAACAGACTGATAAGTATTGTGTCTTTCCCCAGCACAGTACTTATGGGATTCTGCTGATATTGCTGACATTAGACCACTTATTGCTTAATCCACCCAGGACACTGAACAAGTAGGAAGCATTGATTCACTTCCCAGGCCTGCTGAACAGGAGGACTGTGAAGCATAAACTGAAGAAAGCTTTAAAGAGGACATGTCATACTTTTAAATCCTTCATTTTCACTTATGATCTCTATAAAGTAGAACTACAATGCTTTGGTCTGAATTCCTGATTATTGTAACAAGGTCATGAATGTCAGTGGAGATACTGACATCCATGACCTTGTTTAGCAGTTCCACAATGAATTTTTTGACAATTTGTTTCCTAAAAAAGCAACACAAATCAAATGTAGCAACTTTCTCTGGTTTATAATTGAAGACTTTGGCGACAAAGTGGTAAAGCCCCAATAGTACTGCAGTTACAACGGGTGGTGAGAGCTGCCAATGAGCCCCCCACATCTATGAAGTATTTGCTGACAGTGGAAGAGACCCACTCCATGCGCTTTACACATCACTATGTGTACACAACGCTGCTGGTGATCTCGTTCTGGATTAAAAATAATCTAAATATTGCTTTTTATGTTGTGCAATTTTTTGTAACCCAAACTGTTGCGCCAAAACAAAAAATCTTCATTTGACTCAGACAGCCTCAGTGTTCTGTTAAATGTATTATAAAGGATCTGATTGAGATTCTGTATTTGATGAGACTTGGAATAAATTAGCTGAAGGCAAAAAACTGGGACATCACAATTAAAAATTACAATCACCACAGATGTAAACCCTTACATTCCAGTTTTCCCCCAGGCCTGGCGAGCTGCAAGGCAACAGAGCTACCAGCTGTGCCACTGTGCAGCCCGGCGTCAAATTATTTTTCAGTCATGTTTGATGCATATACTAATTTTATAATGGAAGACAACATTGTTATTTGATAGTGCAAAAAAGGCACTAATGTGCTTGAAAAATACATAATATTCCCCTTTAATCAATGTTAATTTTTACATAAGTCAACCGCTGTACCGATCTTTGTTGTATACCAGGTTCAACTGAAAGAAGAGCAGTTTCACACTTTGCTCAGTGAACAGAACAAGTAACAGGCCAGACTTGTAAGTGGGTTCCTAGTGACCCAGAAGCAAACCAAGACAATGAAATGTTAAGGCAAATGTTTAAAATATTGCAGAAAAATTCTAAATCAACTAAAGTAAAAAAAATTAAGGTAAAATAAAGAGAAATTATTATGCAAAAAGTCAAGAAAATAAAAGAGACCCCTTGCACTGAATTGTTCCGCCAGTGGAATGTAGATGCGGGAGAACAGAAAAGCATGTCTCGGTTCGCTCGCGGTTCATGTTTTTGGCTTCGGTGGGCGGATCCAGCCAGTCTTCTGCTACACATGATCCTCTGTGATCCTAAATTCCAACCTTTCAGCAATGACCGTGAGTTTTCCTGATAAGTCTTCCTCATGATTTTGAAGGTTTATCCTTGACCAGACTGACAGATTAAGAGCTCAGCTCCAAGTTGATATTTCTGTGCTATATATTCTGTATTTAGAAATATTAAGTTGAATATACTTTATTGATCCCACAAGGGAAATGAAATGTTGTAACTCAGTTTTCTTCAAGTTGTAGATGTTAATGTTTCCACGTGTTGTAAATTGTAATCACTGGCAGAACTGATTAGATAATCAAGTATAAAATAGAAAAAACATTAAAGTACAAAGTAAAAAGGCTCATTTGACAGTATCAGAAATGGAAAAGAAGTTGAGTACAGAGAGCTGATGGACTGCTTTGTGGCATGGTATGGAAACTATCACCTTCTCTTAAATGTGATCAAATTAGAGGACATAATTATAGATTTCAGGAGAAACAGGATGAATTATCAAACTCATTTCCATCATGAGAGAAGACGTGGAGGTGGTGAATCAATGGTGTTGGTGTTTATCTGGACAACAGACTGGACTGGAGACGCAATAGTGCAGTGTCTATAAGAAGAGGAAGATAGGCAGATGCTGCAGATCTTCAGTCTGTTGTTGAGAGCATCACCTCTTCTGTCATCTGTTGGGGCAGCAGCATCAGAACCAGGGACATCAAAAGGCTCAACAACCTGATAAACAAGGCTGGTTCTGGTTCTGTTCTGGGGACCACTTGGGATCATAAAAACAAGAAAATTATGGAGAAATCTGTCCATCCTCTTGATGAAACTGCTATTCAGTAGTAGAGCATCTCCAGTCAGAGGCTTCTTCAGATTTGTTGTAATGTAATACAGACTGCTACAGAAGATCTTTCCTGGCTACAAACTGAAGAACCCTAAGTAATGAGCTACTACATATAATTTCCCTTTGGGACCAATAAAGCATTTTTTAACTGATTTGTTGCTTTGTAGTGTTAAACCATGATATCTAAAGTATATCAAATGACACCGGTGTGGATGCTTTGGTTGGTTTACTGGTAACCAAGACAACAGAACATAACGTCACAACCTTACATGCAAGCAAGCAGTTAGTAACACCACTAACTTGAACCAGCACGTCATAAATATCAATATATTACAATGTTGATGTTTTCATTGTTGCTGTGCAGCAGGCCTGTGCAAAGATGTTAGGAGAATCAGATGATCAAATATAAAAAGGGGCTCATGGAATAAGATTTTAAAACACAACAGATTTTTATCAAGAATTGAATACAGAGGCATGAAAGCATCCTTAAATTTCCAATTTGCAGGAAAATAAAGGCTCTTTCTATTCTGTCATAGTCATCAGAAGGGGATAATGCAAAGCAAAGGTAGTCTAGCTGCTCCTGCTGCTGCTGAAAGTCAGGGCTGTGTTGATCTGAGATTGTAGACAAGAGAAAGCATAGGAGAGATGGTTCCTCATTAAACAAGAATTATTTAATATGTTATAATATTTCTTAAATTCCTGTTGTGTCTCACTAAACAAACCCTGATAATTGACGCGTTGACCTACACAGCAACTAAGTTGCAGAGTGCTTTAGAAATAATAATTAAAAAAAGCTTAGAGGGACGAGCTATTTTTTGTGCCTCAGAAATTCAGGTTTGGAAGGCAGAAAGACAAAATATATTCATTAGAGCTTAACCTTCTAAAGATCAAGAAAAACTAGATCATATGTTCATTTTAAGTCGTGTTGATTACTGTAAGTCTTCACAGGTCTGCCTAAACCATCAGACAGCTGCAGCTGATCCAGAATAGCAGGCCTAAATTTTTGTTTACAAAAAGTATACTTAAAAATACATTCCTGACTGTATCTTAATAGTTGGAGGGCCCAGTTTTGTCCCCCCTCTATCATGATAAGAAACACACAGCATAATCATTTCATTTCAAACTCTGCATCTCGGAGGTCAGAGGCTAGTCTGCTAGCTAGCTTTCGTCAAGAGTAAGCTGCCGGCAGCCATGTAAATAAAGTAGGTTACCATAATATTTAACTGAATCAATATTCAGTTAAATAATATATGCATTCAAGATATGTACAACTTGCCTCCTGATGGTCTGCAATGCTGCTGTCCTAACTCAGCGAGTCCCCTTCTTCATTTTCCTCTTTGCCCAATCAAACATGAACAGGGAATGGAGCTAATCATGTCCTGTGTTTGAAGACTGGCTGGATCCGCTCACCGACGGCCAAGAACCTTAAGCTCGAATGAGCAGAAGCAGGACACAGCGAACGAAAGGAGACATCCTGCGTGCGCGTGGATTCATATGTTCGCACTCTCACTTCCCCTCATCTGGGGTCTAATTTACTTTCTCGACTTTTGGCATATTGATGATGGCATAGAGGAAGAGTGAATAAAATATAACTCACCAGGTGCTGGAAGTAGGCAGCAAGTTGGAGGTATATGGCACTGCAGCAATGGTGAACTTCTGCAAACCACTGCCACCCATGAGAAAGGCAAAGCCACCATGAGGAACCCTGGAACTGATTCAGATTATATACATGTTATTTTTGACTAAAATCGACATTCTGTAATCAGAACCACAGCAGACCAACCTTCCAGTGACAAACTGCAGCAATAAGACACGTTCCTCCTGGGTGAGACTCCTCACCACCTTCCAAAACCACTGCAGACATGGAGAAAGATCAGCTGCTTGCTAAACAGGAAGTGAAGCCAGCCAAAGGCAAAGCAAACTAAGCAGCCACTTAGGGCCCCAGGGCCACTAAGGGCCCCCTCAGTGAAGCTGATATATTTTTTTAGTAACCATTTCTATGTCATAACGACAAAAACACACTTTCATTATGAAGTGATTTGTTTTTGTTAGCGCGGAAATACTTTTTATGGAGTTATTTTGCGGAAAGATTCTGACACCTAACTGGGTCGTGATGACCTGATAACCTTCCTCCCTTGCGTGCGAAGCACAAAGTTGGACCAAAATATGATTTGGGAAGTAAGCTGTTTAGATTTGTTTTGCAAGACTGAGATGGAACAGATCAATTGTTCACGAGGTTGATTGGTCTAAAAAGGTCCAGACACAGTCAGTGTAAGAGCTGCCAGAATGTTGATGTAAAAACTAAAAGCAATACGTGGTCAGTCAAGACTTCCCAAAACACACCAATGGGATAACGGGAAGTACAAAAAGGGGCTGATGATAAGGAACGAGGATATTTTGGGGAAAGACTTTTTGGAACAATGATTTTCTCTTGATGCATCCCTGGTAGAAGTGATAATAAATCTCCCGACCCGTCGTGGCTGGCAGTAAGGGATTCGTCTCCAAGTATTGAGACGAGTCCTTTTATATTTATAAATATACGATTATATTATACTTATATCATCAAGAGTTTTGCACCTTCCGATTCTCCAACATTTTTACAATAATATATATTTGTTAATGTATGGAGAAATCATTGCTTTATGGACAAAAAGAAAAAATTGTTTTTGGGGGGAATATGTTGTTTGCTGCCATTTTACATCAACTTCTAAGTTAATAACACGTCTGTTAAAATCATTTGAAGGGTCAGAATCAATCCAGTTCCGGTACTGGTCCACATTCCCATTTCTAGCTATTGGAGTAACGCTTAAGAGAAATTTATTTAATCAGAGAATATTATGAATATGTGTGTATGCCTGCAATGATTGCAGTTTTCTGGCTGATCCCCAGTTACTGATAACCTGAGCTGCTAATTTTGATTTTGGCTGATACTAATTTTTTTTTGCCTTAAATGTGAAAAAATATTGCAAGAAAGTCACTGAGTTGGCAACAGTGGGCTGAATATTGTTAACTGTTTATATACAGACATGACTTGGTCGGTCTGTCAGTTGAAGAAAAAGACAGAGACTGATTTATAAAAGTTTGTTGATCAAGATAATATTAGGGGATAAGACGGGCCTCACATATAAGCATTGGCCAATCATGAGCCCCCAAACTAAAGGAAATTGGCTCCCAGAAATCGACTGGCCGATAAATGTATCCTATATTGTACATGCATAAGATATAATGGACCGTATTGTCCGGACTTTAGTCGCAGTTTTTTACATAATTTAAATCATATATATCATATCACATGTTATTTTCACACTAAACCGCAAGAGGGCGCTCTAGGCTTGTGTTATTCTACCTTTGGAGTTAGCGAAGTTGTTAAAAAGCGACATTGAGGACAAAGATTTCATTGCATTTAGTGATTTGGAGAGACATGGATGGTTTGGTAAACTTGTTAGCATGTTATTTATTTTATAGTTATCTGCATAACTCTTAATATGTTATGTTAACATACCAGGCACGTTCTCAGTTCGTTGTTCATGTGTCATGTAATGTTAGCATACCGTACAATTATTCAGCCTGTTGTTGTCTCTATTCTATTTTTATTGCCTTTCAAGATGACATGCCTGTTCTTGGTGTTGGATTTTATCAAATAAATTTCCACCTTTCTTATACGTGTGACTTATATATGTATTTTTCTTCTTTATTATGTACTTCATGGCTGGTGGAACTCATACTCCAGAGCGACTTATAGTACGGAAAATACGGTAAACAGCACCATCAGAGATGCAATAAGTTTATAATAGGTGTGCGAATGATCTAATCATCTGTTGATTCCAGTAGACCACATTGTTAGCAAAAATAGATGGCCAAAACCAAATTCCACTTAGGGCCCCATGGAGGCTTGGGCCAGCTCTGAAGCCAATGTCACCATGACTTCAATGTTACCTGTGGTCCAACCCAAGCTGTAAAGTTATATTTTCAGGAAACTGAGACAAAACCTTTAAAAGGTCTTAAACACAGAAGGCTAGGAACATCTTACATCTTCTACAACAGTTGGGCGACTCTGTAAAAATCAATATTTGCTTTTATTTTTTCTGCTTTTGAAATATCAGTGCCTGGAACCAAATATTCATCTGTTTATTATGGTAGTTTATAAATTGAATTTTATGCAACAAGATAGCCATGGCTTCCTCTATCAATGATCACAGTATTTTTGATCGATTTTGGCATGATCATGTTGAACATTGGAAGGTCAGTCAAAAAGGTAATTCTGTAACAAATAATAACATTACGTGAAATTGTTCCTGAAACGCATGCAGGATCATGCCTGCCTGCATGATCATGCATGCAGGATCATGCCTGCATGGTGAAGTTAGCTGAGCGGACAGAACAGGCCACCTGGATTACAGGATCTTCAGGGTCATAGCCGCTGGTGTACTCAGTGTTTCTGCACCAATCCTCCACATCCATCTCTGGCATCCCTGATAGCAGGAGCTCCTGTAGATACACACACAGTCGTAGTTTTGTATATTGTGGGGACTACACTCACCTAAAGGACAATTTATAGTCATCATTCACTAAATAGCCAGCCACTGCCTCAGCCCTGGGTTAGAGGCTGTTTTATCTCAGAGAGGCTAACTTTCTATTTCTCCTGAATTTGATACAGTTGGGGCTCCCACACTTTCTGTATCTTCCTATACCTGTATCTGTCCCCTCTGTCCCTCCCACTTTGTTCCAATATTTTAATCCATTGCTAATATGTTGTGACATGTTTTTTAACTTTAAGCATCAAGTCACTTGCACCAATTTTACACCCATGAGGAGGCAAAGAGACTGTTTACTGAGTTACTGTCTTGGTAGACCAAGACAGTAACTCAGCAAAAGGGAAAGTACTTTGCACGTTTTTTTTTTCCTAAAGATGTCGAATAAATATCTGGATGCAGATAATATTAACTAAATGACAACTCACTTTTCCATGACATCATATCACTTAAGGTTGTTAACAATAGGCTACTAATTTTGTTATCTATGTTCAGGGGTTGGGAGTTCACGCGACTTTTTACTTGAGTAATAATATGATCTACTGTTTTTCTCATTTGAGTAAATTGATTTTTTTTTATAGAAGTAGATTTCAGAGATTGGAAACTTTAGATTCTTAGATTTCTGAGACTTGAAAATTTGAACATAATTACTCAGTATTTTCTACATTTTACTGTTTAGATAATTAATATTCTTCTGCATTAATAAGCAACATGGTTATTTTATTTGATGCATGGCCTTACGTCAGGATTTGAACACAGGAGTCCACATGAAACTATTAGAAACTTTAAATGACATTACATATTTTTGCCATAGTGGAAATATGACGCTATTAATGATTTATGTTTTGTTTTTCATGGAGAAAACAATTGTAACAGAAAAGCTGTTTTAGCTGCAAAACAAAAACCCCTCACTTCACATTCTAAGCAGCATCTCAGTGCCAAAAGCAGTCAGCCAGAGGGAAAATGGAAAAGCTGTTACCACTAAATTGACTGTTGAGTTGACCTGAAAACATAGCACCATGAAGAGATTCTAGGTGAAAGAGTTGCGCTGCACACTGATCCATGCATGATGCAAAATTTTCCAAAAGAAAATAAATAAAAGAGCCTAATGGAGTTGAAGAGAATCGGGTTCCAAGGTGACACAAGCCGCTCCTCTCCTCATGGCAAATTAATCCTTCCATCAGATGTGAGGGGTGGCACACAGAGGGGAACAGTAACACAGAGGACAGCAGAGAGGAGGAGGAGAAACACGTACCAATTCATATTCGTCAAAAAGCTGGATAAGCGACGGGGGGATGAAGGTGTGGAATCCTTGCAAGAAGGCGTTTATCTGAGGCTGGATGGCTCGTGTCATCCTCAGCTCCGTCACCAGCTGGACGTACTCCGCCTGAGAAAAACATTCACTCCCTGATCAAAGTCCTTCACAAATACACATGGACAAGAGAAGGACGGAGTTCATGCATAATTATTTTTTCCTGAGGAGGCTTTTCAAAGCCTTACAAGACAGTACCACCTACAGGAGAACTGCAGAACTACATGAGGAGGTATCAACCAAAAACAACAATCTTTTGGCTGATGCTAGACATACTATAACTGATTTGAAAAGTCACTATAATCATATTCAACCACAATAATTATTATCAAGTTTTAACACCGGAAGAAAAATTCTCATCAGATCCAAGTGATTCTGGTTTGTTAAAAAAATAATGCAAGAAGCAGGCAGGTGTGAGTTGTCTATGATAGATGGTATATACAATGTTCATTGACTGCCACATGGCAGCAAGATTTTTATCTGAATACACATTCAGCAAGACGAGATACAATACAGAGAACGGAGAACTGGGCAGAGTTCTCCGTTCAATTGGAAGATTGCATAAGAAAATTTAACCGTCTCCCTGCATCCTTATTAATGTCCAGCAAGAGTGTTAGGTAAAGATCCAACAAACAAAAACATGCCCCCAACGGCGGAGCTTACAAGTTTCACCACCACAGAGAGCAACTGTGTCATTCTGAAATCCATCTGACATGAAGTACAACAAACCAAGAAAACAACCGAAACATCAGGCTGCTGGTCACTAGTGATGAAACAACACAAATTCAAAGTAGTTCATAACCGCAGAGAGTGATCGGATCATTTTGACACTATCAATTTCAGCTCAGAGCCTGAAGCAGCTCGCAACTGCTGCAGCTACATTTATTGTTGACGCATTGAACCGAGCACGCCGCAGCGCACGTTGAAGCGGGTATGCAGAGGCATGTGCCGCATGCGCAGTGTTGTCGCAGCACCTCGTGCTCTTCTGGATGTTTGAAACTCGGTGCGGATTGCGCGCGCCGCTGTTCACACAAACTGGACAATCTGGAAGATGCTCTTTCAGGCGGCTCCAATCTAAACCTTAACTATAAAACGCCATACTGCTAACTTGGCTCAAAAATGCTCAACCTGAACTGCTGAAAGCGACTGTAGTGACTATCTGTCCCAAAACTCCAATAAAAAAATAACATAAAAAATTAAGACTTGAAGGTGATCAAAGCAAAAGGTGAATTCAACTCAAACAGTCACTATGGTGCACCGTGGATTCTGGCTTATGCAGTCTAAAAGATCAAAAAAGTTCTTTGATTTATTCCACTACTCAGACAAAACAAGTTACAGGCCTCACTGGATTCAGCTACTTCTTCCGCTCTGATTCCTGCACCTGTTCTTTGACTGATGACAAACTGCTGACCGATTGGATAGAATGACTGCTAAAAAAAAAAAAAAGAAAATCAAAAAAACATATGACCACCCATACTGTGAAACACCCACATCCCAAATTGAAATTAATTAAATAATTGAGTGAATTACTAACCAAAGAACATATTTTAAACAAATTAAAAATTCTAATTATAAATCAGCTAGAAAATAAGCACAAATTAAAAATGAACTAAATAATCTAAATTCTAAATTTAACTGAAAATGGAGAAATAGTTCCTACAGTGACTCTAACTCAGCCTTCAGTCCCTGACATCACCACCTCATCTCTCCAGTCTAGTATAGTTTCACACATTTTGGAAACTCTTGAATAAAACATTATTTTTGTTCTTGTTACATGAGCAAAAAAATTTCCCGAATTATTAAACGAACTGAATTAGCTTCTTCTACAGAATTTCTATGGGATTCAGCTGGACTGCTCCAAAACATTAATGTTATTTCTTTCAGAGGAAACATGGCAGCTAAATTAAAACATTTTTGTAAGCCTACATTTGCCAGTGGTATGAATTATTTTTGGGTTTCAAAACTTCTAATACAAGTCTGCTCATTTTATAACGAGTCAACATCCAATTAAATCTTAAAATCTTCTTTGCAAAAGAACCACTTACCTCTTCATGTCTTTACAGTGTGCATCACATACAGTAATGGAAACACACATATACCAGAGCTAAAGATGTGCTTAGTGGTAACTCACCTTGTTGAGTTGAGTGACAAGGATGCTGCTCCCTCCAGGTTTGAGTGGCACTTCCTCCATGGCTCCAAACACATCTGTCTCCACAGAAAAGGTCAGCTCCAGACCCAGGTCACTGATGTCATTATCCAAGATCCACTGCAGATTTTTAGCATACTCTGGATCAATAGATGACACATCCTGATAATTTACTGGAATACCTGGCAACAAAAACATTATGCATAATTAGGATTAGCAAGAGAAATATTTTGCTGTGAAAACAGTATTTGATATTTGTCGTTATAGTAAAAAAGCTAAAACAAGGGAAGCGCAAGGGATATATTAATATGTCCGTAGGAAGGAACTCTTAATCGGTCTCACCAGCATCAAAAAACTGATGTTACTGGATACTGATTATCCTGATGCTCCAAAGACTTTAGCATTTCCAGTTAACTTGACAGTTAACTTAATCACGTTCAGATGACCTGAATGTCCAAAATATCCCTCACACACAGCTCTAGAACATCTACAGATTTTGTTTGACTGTGACACCAAAATGTTTCAGATCAGCAAAAACAGTTTAATATCAGACAAACATAACCTGAGTAAATATTAAACACAGTCTTAAAATGATGATGTATTGGAAAAAAGCTATCACAACCAAACTGAACATGAAAAACAAAGCAACCTCTTGAACTTTAAGTCAAACTGATGGACTGACATTCTCTTTCAGGATTTTGTGCTATGGAGCAGGATTAATGTTTCTACTAATTACAACAAAGCAGCTCCAGCCATCACACTGTCACTGCCGTGTCTGACTTATCACACTTAGCATGTGAATGTGTGTGTGAATGGGTGAATGACTGGATGTGACGTAAAGCATGTTGGGGTTCTCTGGACTTGATCAAGCTTTATAGATTTTTAACTCTTAATAAATCGTCTTTTAATAAATCAAATTAAAAGACGGCATTTTCTATTTAATCGCGTTACCTTTGTATATCTAAATTTGTTAGATTATCTGAAACATTTAAGTGCCAAAAATAAAAATGAATGAAAAGTATTCTGCAATGGGAATATGACTTTTTCTCCAATATAGTTAATTTGGATGTTTGTTTTTTTTGCCTTCTTCCATCTTCTTCCATCTTGCCTTTTCTGTTTGTACCACACAGTCACAGCCTGTCCTTTGAGAGAAGTTGGCATCTGATTTATCAACCTGTTTTGGTTTTACTAACTGTACAAAAAAGTTGATCAATGAGGAAAACAGTTGAGTTGATTAACTTGAACAGAAGATTCCCAAGAAAACAAATTTCAATCCTCTTTTTTACTTTCAACTGGCTGAATAGGAATAGACTTTTAAAAAACTGATGCACCTGGGTGCTGTTTTAAACACATATGGTTACAAATAACCATATGTGTTTCACAAATACAAATGTCATGAGCCTTTGTTTAACATCTAGGTATCTTTGTGTTTTCTACCCAGTATGTGTTTGTAGAATGAGCGGGTGAAGTAGATGTTGACCAGCTGCCGGTGATAGAGAGCCAGACCCAAAATCTGACCCGCAAACTGGAAGTAGTTCAGATGGTCTGGATTCACCGAGGAGTTGCTGTTGGGCTGGAAGGTTGTACCTATGCAGAAGGAAAGCACACTGCACTGCAGTAGAGCTCTTGCAGTTTGAAGTTATCACTGAAGGTAATTTGCTGCATACCATCAGCAGACTGGGTGAACAGAGCGTAGTCAGGGTTGATGATTTCATTAGACAGGATATCAAACCACTCGCGAACCACACCCTGGCCCTGAAACACACACACCCAACTCAACTCACCACGCTGAACAGAGTACAGCATTTTCATTCCTCCAAAAGGTACTGACAAACGGACAAAGTGTGAGAACCGACCATCTACCTTCCAGATTTTTTTCCAGCTATTACCTAAACCGGTCTGTCTAAAGGACGGAGATGTTTGTTAACACTTTACTGTTTTAGTCAAACTGAATGTAGGAAGGCTCTAAAAAAAACTTAATGTTTCAACATTTGAGGAGCCTTTTCTCACTCTGCTCCCTGATTGGAGCTCTCTACTTATTGACTCTATTATTACTTTCAAATCTGTTCCAGTCAGCCTTCATTTGTAGGTTTTCTTTTTCCATTCTGTTAATCTTTCTTCATCTGGTTTTTATTTTTAGTCTACTCTTGTATTGTTTTTTTTTTTTTGTAATTGGGTCACTTGAAAGTGGCTGACAAATAAAGTGCGTTAATTAATCAACTAATTAATTAAACAGTCACTGTTCAATGGCAGCAAACAATTGTTATGGTTCATCACTTCTTATTTTTTTAAAAACTAGATATCTATGGATAAAATACTGAACTTGAGGCAGTGAAGAGATAAGTTATAGTATTTTTTTTTTACAAAGTTTTCTGTCTATGAATGAACTGTGAATGTAGAAACTCACCATGCCTTCCTCCCCATGAAAGCGGACAGCTATACCCTGTTTGAGCTTCTCATTAGTGGACTTGGAAACCATCTCACAGCTGCTCCTGAATATGGAGTCTGAGTGTGAAGCACAACAACAGCGTAGCGTTAACAAGTTTCACCAGACATAAACATTGGAACCTGAAGAAACGAATACTGCTCCTGAGAAGATTGATTTGGAAGACTTGTTGTCTGGCTCACTGTGATTTTACTGGGTTTTAAACTCAAAACATTTGACCTTATTCTGTGTTCCCAGTCCTTCCAGTGGCCAAAAACATCTACCATGGACAATTATAATGATTGCTGTATATATAGGTTTATATTCTTTGAAAGAAATTGTAAGCAACAGAAACACTTGGTGCTTTGGTGCAGGGGTGCCCAAACTGGGTCTGGAGGGCTGACATCCTGCACGTTTTCGTTCCCTCCCTGGTGGTACCAGCAACCTTTTCAGCATGTCAGCCATCATTTGATCAGGTGCGTAAAACCCGGGCAAGAACTAAAATATGCAGGATGCCGGCCCTCCAGGACCCAGTGTAGACACCCCTGTTCTAAGCAATGATGTCAGTAACATAATTAGACTATTGATGACGAACCACGTTTTCAGTAACGAGTTATCTAACGTGTTGCTATTTCAAATCCAGTAGTCAGACTACAGTTACTTATCAAAATCACTTTGCGTTACTATTTTCTTTTGTAATTTTATTTTATTTCCTCTATGTGTCTTGGGGAGTAACCACCGTTTCTATGCAACAGTATCTGCAGCAACAGAAACATAAACAGTGGAGCGAAGAGGGAGATGCGCATTTTGTTGCTGGAAAAACAGCAAAACAGCCCAAAACTCAACTATTTTGAGTTTCACTCACCAAGTCCAATTGTCATAAGTGGTTTTGGGCTAGTTTTTTTTCTAAAGTCGCTTGCAGATTTCATGAGTCACGGGTTGCGCTTTTTGGGCTTGGAAATAAGAGACATAAACCCCAGAATTTGTCTGATATCCATTTAGTTTTGGTCAGACTCACCCTGTCCATCATTTCCCAGATGATCCATCCCACTCTGTCTTTGTTAATGTCATGTTAATATATTACCTCTGAATTACCTCGAGCTTTGTGTTGCGCATCAAGACTAATATGAATAGCGCAATAAACATGAAAACAGCCAGGAATGAACGAGTCTGTAAAGCTTTGCAACGAAACGCCTTGTAATCATTGACATTAAGATAAATGTTACAAATCTGTGCAATGGGACATCTGAGGTGTGGAGTGACAGGAGCAGCTGTGCGCTGCGCTCTGACAGAAACACAGGGCTGTAATGCAGAACCTGGACGCTGAGGCAGGGGGGCCTAAAATCCTATTGCACACCATAGAAACACACCAGAGCACGCACAAATTACTAACGTTTTTGTTCCCATCTGTTGTAACCATTAAACAATCCCCCTTTAGTTCAACCATATAAGTGGAGACATATTTTTGATGTTAACTTGCAATTAAATTTTGGCAAAGATTGAGCTACTTTTTCAAGAAGTAATCAGTAATCCAGTTAAAGTTGGTTTTTCAAAGTAACTATGCCATCACTGCTTCTAAGATAGTTCCAAATAACTGGACAGAGTTAATCATCAGAAGTTGTCAGATTGCAGAGCAAATGGGTCGCTGAGTTCAGATTTTACAGAAGTGGTGCCAACTGACAAGATGCAAGCTAAGTGGATGGAGCCATCTGAACTATTACCTAATGGGATCAAAGAAGATCAGATATTCTCATCTGCATTTATGTCGCATCTGAACAACTGCTACAAAGTTGGATAACGACAGGAGTGGTGGCGTGGTTATGACCTGCTCATTCAGGCTCTCTACAGTGCTGGCTTGCACCACTTACTTAAAGTTTAGATTTGCGAGTGCCCAGAATAACTTCAACTTTCCATTTTCCAACAGCAATATGAAAAACATAAGAGAAAAACTGATTTGTGGAAGCAGCTCTTGGACACGTATGGTAGCAGTGTGTTGTGAGGATTGTGGGTACCTCTGTGGATGAGAAGAATGTCGCTTTCATTAACAGGACGATGGACCATGTCTGAGTCTGGCTGGCCAGCCAGCAGATGCTCATAGAACCACTCACAGCGATCCTTAAAAGGCTAGAGGGGACAACAAAGACTTCACTCAACAAAACTGCACAGCATTTCCCAGACTAATTACCACTTCTCTGTGCTGTCAACTTTCAGGCTGTGGATATTTCAGTCACAACTGGTGGCTTGGAAAGGCTTTGGAGCTGAAACACTCATCAGAGATACAGAGATGAGGATTGAGTCTATTTGCATAATATATGCCTTTGTTCCCTAAGCGATGGATGTAGACTGAAGGATGAGCACGAAAAAAAGACAAAGGCTTTTCCCTCAGGGCTGCAGGGCACACTAAAAAACAAATCAGAAGATGAAATCAAATTCACCAGGTTAAAGTCTGTAATTAAAACAAGAGCCAACTCTCGAGTGAGCTATAATCCATGGGTAACGAGGCGCAAATGCTGCACCTCAAATATAAGTACTAAAAAATAAGTGAACAGCGCACAACTCAGAGCAGCACTTAAAATTTATGATACCATTTAAATTAAACTTAAGACAAGTGTTATTGTCATAGAGATAATGCTGTTAAATGATGCTGAAGTGAAGACAAGGGACTTTCAAAGTCACTTTCTATAAAGTCTTTGAGGAAACAAAAACAGAACTGTCACATAAAGAATAAGTTAAGGCAAACTGGTGCCCGAGCCCAGGGACAAAAGAAGCAGAGATGCTTACAGGAGTGCACAGATTCGCACTAAAAGTTGGCGTAGGGGCAAATTTTGAAAAGTGTAGTGCACAAAAAACAATCACATGTGTAAAATCATGAGCAGACATGTAGCTGCTCACCTTTCCTTTGTACAACCCAATCTTGTGGAAGCCTGTCTCAACCCAGAAATGTGTGTTTAAAATGGTATAAATAACAAGAAGGCTGCCACCACTTGTCCCAATTATCGTAACAACGGGCCCTGCTTTCCAACGACTATCGAAACTAATGACCTGCTTTATTTAAGAGGTGTCCTTCAGGGATCACAAGGTCATTTCACAAAAAATGTAAGCAAAAAAACTCAAGAGAAAAATATTTAAAATGGAAAACAAAAAGGACTTGTTGATCAAAGTGAAAATGCCCCTTTTCCACCGGCTCTACTTCAGCAGCCCGGCCCGGCTCGACTCGACTCGGCTCGGGCTCGGCTCGACTCGGCCCAGCTCGGCTCTATTTCAGAGTGACCGCTTTTCCATCTGTAGCAGGGTGCCACCTCCTGGCGGTGCGGGGTACCGCCTCCAAGCACCATGTGCGGTGCTTCGTTACTATGCGACCTAATACGAGTTGTTTTTCTGATACAAAAGAGGAAGAGCTACCGTTTTATAGCCTGATTGTGATTTTTCTGAGGATTCAAGAAACTGTGCAGTGGGAGGAATGCTGCAATGCAGTGAGGTCAGCTGATGACAGCCACGCCCACATCGACACAACAACCACCCAAGTATCAAAGCCGTGTTCCTGTCACTTTGCTAATTGCTTATTTCAATCATATGGCTCTTACACTAATATTCAGGCAACTATTGGGACCCCCACAGAGCCACTGCTGCTCCACGCCAAACTGCTTCTTCTTCCCAAGGATGGGCCGCCTTATGTCAACATATGCTTATTATATTTTTCAGGATAACTATATAAAAAATTGTTTGATTAGTTATCTGTATAAAGATTCGATTAACACAAAGGAATGACCTGTAAATTAAGTACTTTTCTTTAACAGGCTACAGACACACAGCTTTTTCACCACTGTTTAAAAACAATAAATCTTTAAAATGACAAAAATAATCAGGCAACTTCATATTTGATCTCAATATTTGCTTACATAAACTGGTTTGTAAAGTCCATGAACTAAGTACCCTGACGTTAAACAGACTGTCACAAATCTTTTTTCATACCTGGTTCTTAATAATGTGCATAAAACGTGACATCAACTCTGGACACTCAAGCAGAAAATGGAAATGGTTAAAGATGATTTTTGGATTCCTGGAAAGAGAAGGCAAAGGGGAAACATCCACAGGGACACAAAGAACAAAGAGACAGCAGTGGAAACAAATTAGGAGCAAAATAAGCAGTGTGATCGATATTTCATCTCTAATGTGAGAGGAGTCGGATGTATAGCCAGGGGCATATCGACTCACCTAGTTACAAAACATTTCAGCACCTCGTCATGCTTGCAGACAAACTCTATAAAGCGTGGGGAGGTCATTCTGAACAAGCAAATAGAAGAATGAGAAGAAGAAGAAGAAGACAAGAACAACTCAATAAAAACTGAACATGATGTTGGTTCACGACAGAGGACATGTTGCTAGGGACACAGCACAGGGGAGCACACAGTTCTGGATTAAATGCACATCACATGATATATAATAATAATAATAATAATAATGGAAACATTAGCCAAGTATTTTAGTACAACAATGTCTGTATCAAAGCAAAGATAATTATGATCAACTTATTTCATACTATTGAGAATAACTAATTCTGTGTTTTTCTTCTCTCTCTTGTAGCTAGTTGCAAAGCTAAAGCTAAAGGAAATGACATGTTAGGAAACAACCTCAAAGCTGAGATTAAAAGAAATGACACACTAGGGAACGCCTTCTGAATTTATCGCCATTAATAAATGGAATAAGTTCCTATTTATTCCAAACAATCTGACTTTGCCGTTTGGTTTTCAGATTCAAACAATGGGATATTTTAAGATGAGGGTGGTGCAGAGACAGGAAGAAGTGGCAATTCTGCTCGGTCTGGTGAAGACAGGATGCTAAGCACTGACCCCTGTGGCATCTGACACGAGCAGCTCATGTAGAAGGCCTGAATAACCGCACTGAGCCGGTTGGCTGTCATGGAGATCACATCCTCCCCATCAACATACGCTTCTCCTTCCAGCAAGGAGAGCGTGGTCCTGGAGGGGTCTGACTCCCGCTGCTTGAGCAGGAGGGACGCTATCTCACTGCTGGAAGAGGACGAATATGGGTTCGTCGTGGATCTTTCCAGCTCTGTGGAGATGAGCATCAGCCACTCATCAAGAGAATGCCATAGCAGCTCCAATGGCTGCAGAGACACAGACAGAGAGAGGGACGGGAAATCAAAAGCTACATCCACTCAGGCAATAAAAGACAGAGGCTTCTTGGAACATTTGCTTCACATTCTGAAAAACAGACTGTCTCTGAATTAAACATAATATACAGAAAACTGGATCACTGCATGGCACAAAGTTTAGAGCGGGGCCCTGTACATATGGAGGCTACAGATCTCGATGTAGCGACCTGAAAAAAAACAACCACCAGACCAGCCTTACACTGTATTGATTGATTTTCACACGTTGAAGTTTGGAGGATTGCTTTAGCTACTGGTGCATCCTTTACTACAAACGTTCAAGAGTTCCCTAAAGGAATGTTGTTACTGCATTTTAAGCAAAAACATTTTTTTATTGTATTTAAAAGAGGAATTGATTTGTTGATTTATTGGAATTTCTTATACATTTCTAATATTGAATTAAAAAAGCTTTAGTGGTTAAACAAAAAAGTTGCAGAATGTTCAACATTTTTCAATCAGATTGTCAGAATAATCAATAGATTAATCAATTACTAAAACAATAGCTAGTTGCAGTCTTAGGTCAATCATTCAAATTCAATTCAAAAATACTTATTGATCCCAAAGGGAAATTAAATGTTGTGATTACTGACATTAATTCAAAATCTTAAAGGATTTATTGTAGACAGTGATTGCTGTCGGCAGTAAAGATCTCCTGTAGCAGTCTATATCACAGTGAATCTGAAGACACCTCTGACTGAAGATGATGCTCTCAACCACTGACTGATAGAAGATCTGCTGCATCTTGCTGCAAACCTTGAAGGATCTTAGCTCCAGTCTGCTCTGGCTCTTCTTATTGAGGCTTTACTTTGTGCCTCAAGTCCAGTCTGTTGTCCACACGAACACTGAGGTATTTATATTCCTCAGCCATTTTATTCCCCCATTCAGACACTGATGATGGTGAGATACTCTGTAGCCCCAACTGCCCTGGGGCAGACTGACAAAAACAAGGCTTCCACATCAAAACAGCAGGTCCTCTGATCACCACCACCAGGAGAGGGACGGAGCGAGAATTGAACCGGCATGCATACTCATTCCCATTTAGAAAGAGCTGTCTGTGTAAAGTGCCTCAAGGTGAGGTACAAATGGAAATGAATTGTCAGTGTGTCAAACTGATCATTGCATATTAGATCTTTACCTCGTACTAACCTTAAAGACCTGGCTCCGAGGCGTCTTGTTCCCATTGTAGCCCAAATCGTTACCATTGTTGGGAGAAGAAGGGCCGAGGCGGAACACATGGCAGAAAATACGAACTATTCTCAGAAGGCTTTTCATCTGAGCTTCATAACTACTGGACAGACTGACAGAAAGACAAAACACAGTTGTGTCCAATTAAATGATACAACCATAAAAATACATGAAAACATTCAGCCTTACAGCAAGGTACATGGTGAGCGTACATGTACTTTCACCATGACTTTATTTACATCTTTCTTATGGTCTCCACAGAGACAGACCAGCAGAAATCTTCAGGCTTGATCTTCAGCATAAAACCTTTGACATCTTAAGTTACACAAAGTGGTACAAAGAAACCACTTTGTACCACTTTGAAAAGTTTGGCGTGCATATGTGTTCAGCCTGCCTTAATTAATATGTTGTAAAACCACCTTTTGCTGCAAACAGTTGGCATTTGAAAAGCACTGTCAATATCAAAACTAAAACAGACTAAAAACTTTAGCTGTGGATCTCTGCAGCTCCTCCAGAGTTACCATGGGCATTCCAGCTGCTTCACTGATTAATGTTCTTTTCTCCTGGCCTACATATTTACAAGCAGCGCCATCATGGTGGGCTTGCAGTAGGGCATGCATGCCATACTTTTCAGAATTATTCGTAAAACCAAGCACAATTTTCCATCAACGTGTTGATCTGTCACTTAAATTCCAATAAAATACATAGAAGTATGAGATTGTAGCATGAAAAATGTGAAAAGGATCCAGGGCTGTGAATACTTTACAAGCCACAGTGCATGCAATATATCAGAATCAAACCAAAGGGTTTAATCAAAGGCTGCAAATCTGTAACTTCACCTGAGAAGTTTGTGTCCATTAGTGGTCGCCACTTCTGCAAGACTGGTCAAAACCTTTTGATAGTGACTGTCACTCTGCTGAGACACGTGCTCCAAAACCTGCCTGAGCTACAAAACAATGAAAAAATGCAAACATATTACTTGTAGTTCATACTCTGTTTGCAATTGCTTTCTAACATAAAGGAAAGTTTCTGTGTCTTGGTCTTCCTTAAACCTCAACTGGCTTTTCACTCATCTTTTGTCCAGTGTTTTATTTGATCATGAGAACAAGGTGTGTGTGTTAAGGCAAACAATGGGCAAAAGGAGAATTGACATACTTTAAAAAACAACATAAAAGGTTAAGCTATTACTTCAACATTTAGCAGAAATAGAAAGAGAAGTCATTCTCTTGTATTTAATTAGAAGCTCTTTGGTTACAAAAATACTCTTTTCTGTATCGAAATAAGTTACATTTTTATATTTTATCATCAGAAATTGGAACAAATTAAATTTTTTTACTTGTGTATGGAAAGTACATTAAACAAGTATGAAGAATTTTCCTTTGGCGCAAAGTGGAACTGAAGGTGATTCTGATGAACAAAAACAATTTTATAGAGAATGAAGTTACAGTTCTGTACATAAAATGTTATTACCATATTCTCTTTAACATCCTCATTCTGTGTCATCTGGATTAACATCTGGAACAATCTAGCATGGTGCTGAATGAGAATCTCACAGGTCTCCCCATATCCACCCTGAAAATAACAATAGCAGCAAATGAAATGAAAAGGTAAAACGTGTTCTGCTACAGTAAATGGAGCTGAACTAGCCACCTGCACACAGAGATCCAATGGAGTGATTCCATTTTTGTCAGCAAGGTATTTGGCACCACGAGAGAGCAGGATCTGTGCAGTGTCTCTCTGTCCATGGCTGAGGAACAACACAACACAAGCTTTATGCCATTGAAATAACAAGAAAAGCTGGATCAATCAAGACTTAACATTTTGCATTGTAAAAAATGTTTTGGAGTAGAAGCAGAAAAGTGTGGAGGAAAATGGCGAGAAGCTTGCAGCAAAGTGCCTTTTGCACAAACTGTGGCTGTGATTTACACACCAAACCAGGAGATGCTGCTGCTCCCTTTGTTTCTCCCTTCCACATTTCTGCATCTAGAAGTCAGAAGAAGAGGCAGCTGGAGAGGCTGAACCTGAACAAGGCTGCAACTCCAGATGGTGTCAGCCCCAGAGTCCTAAAGGCCTGAAGCTGCAGAGCACCTCTGTGGAATTCTGCAGGATTTCTTCAACTTTAGCCTGACCCAAGACAAGGTTCCACTGTTATGGAAGACGTTCGTCCTGGTTCCGGTACCAAAGAAAACTCACTCATCAGTCACCAATGACTATAAACCTGTTGCCCTGACAAGCCACATCATGAAGGTCCTGGAGAGACTCCTGCTGGCCCTTCTGACTAAGCAGACAAAGACATATCAAGACCCCCTGCAGGCTGCTTATCGCCGTGGATCTGGAGATGATGATGCCATCCTACACAACAAACCCACTGTCATCTGGTCAAGCCAGCCAGGCAGCACTGTGAGGATCATGTTCTTTGATTTCTCCACAGCTTTTAACACAATTCAGCCTAATCTGCTCTGTGAGAAAACTCCACAAGACACAGCAGAGTCCTCAACAATCACCTGGATCTAGAACTACCTCACAAGCAGACCACAGTTTGGGAGTCTGAAGGCTGTGTGTCTAAGCAGCTGGTCAGCAACACTGCAGCACCACAGGGCCCTGTACTCTCACCATTCCTTTTCACTCGTCTGCAGAAATACTCAGATGACTCTGCAGTTGTTGGTTGAATCACAGATGGACAAGAGGCTGAGTGCAGCAGACTGGACTTCTTGAGGAAGCTAAGATCTTTCAAGGTTTGCAGCAAAATGCTGCAGCTCTTCTATCAGTTGTTGGGGCAGCAGCATCAGAACCAAGGACGTAAAAAGGCTCAACAACCTAATGAAGAAGGCTGGTTCTGTTCTGGTTCTGTTCTGGTTCTGTTCTGGTTCTGTTCTGGTTCTGTTCTGGTTCTGTTCTGGTTCTGCTCTTGTTCTGCTCTGGTTCTGTTCTGGTTCTGCTCTTGTTCTGTTCTGGTTCTGTTCTGGTTCTGTTCTGGTTCTGCTCTGGTTCTGTTCTGGTTCTGTTCTGGTTCTGTTCTGGTTCTGTTCTGGTTCTTGTTCTGGTTCTGTTCTGGTTCTGTTCTGGTTCTGCTCTGATTCTGCTCTGGTTCTGTTCTGGTTCTGTTCTGGTTCTGTTCTGGTTCTGCTCTGGTTCTGTTCTGGTTCTGGTTCTGGTTCTGTTCTGGTTCTGTTCTGGTTCTGCTCTGGTTCTGTTCTGGTTCTGTTCTGGTTCTGCTCTGGTTCTGCTCTGGTTCTGTTCTGGTTCTGTTCTGGTTCTGCTCTGGTTCTGTTCTGGTTCTGCTCTGGTTCTGTTCTGGTTCTGCTCTGATTCTGCTCTGGTTCTGTTCTGGTTCTGCTCTGGTTCTGCTCTGGTTCTGCTCTGGTTCTGTTCTGGTTCTGGTTCTGTTCTGGTTCTGTTCTGGTTCTGTTCTGGTTCTGCTCTGGTTCTGTTCTGGTTCTGTTCTGGTTCTGTTCTGGTTCTGCTCTGGTTCTGGTTCTGTTCTGTCTGGTTCTGTTCTGGTTCTGCTCTGGTTCTGTTCTGGTTCTGTTCTGGTTCTGTTCTGGTTCTGCTCTGGTTCTGCTCTGGTTCTGTTCTGGTTCTGCTCTGGTTCTGCTCTGGTTCTGTTCTGGTTCTGCTCTGGTTCTGCTCTGGTTCTGCTCTGGTTCTGTTCTGGTTCTGCTCTGGTTCTGTTCTGGTTCTACTCTGGTTCTGTTCTGGTTCTGTTCTGGTTCTGCTCTGGTTCTGTTCTCTCTGGTTCTGCTCTGGTTCTGTTCTGGTTCTGCTCTTGTTCTGTTCTGGGGACAACTGTGGAGCCTCTGAAGATGAGGCAAAGAAGGGTTATTCATGAGGTCAAGGAAGTTATGGACAACCCTGACCATCATCTTGTCTTGGGAAAGCAGATCATCTTCAGTCAGAGGCTTCATCAGATTCACTGTAATACAGACTGCTACAGGAGATTTTTCTGCTGACAGTCATGACAATCTTCAATAACTCTTTGAAGAATCTGAATTAATCAGATTTACAACATTTAATTTCCTTTGATTTAGCTTTAGAGTCAATGAAGTATTTTTGAATTTGATTTCACACTAAACCAGGTCAGTCCTGAGGACCCGTATATAATGTGGTTTTTCGTTACCTGCAAGCAAAGTACAGAGGTGTGGCTCCAGAGACATTCGGTCGGTTGATGTCAGCTCCACTGTCCAGAAGACACAACACCGTCTGTGAACATACAGCTCCTTTTCATGTCGCATCAACAGGACATTGAAAGAAGAAGTTCTGAAACTGATTACTCATCAGTTTTTAGAACTTGATAGCCAGAAGTTTAGAACAGGGGGGGTGAAAGCTGCTGTCCTGGATCTTTCCTATGTAGCCCTGCTCCAGTTTTTCAGCTGTGAAAAGGAAATGATAACAAACCGTCCACCTGGTTGAGACACTGTGCTGCTCTGAAGAGTCCAGGGGGAGGGAGCTCACAAGGAAAGACCTTAAAAAGATAGCTCCTGCTGCCAATCAATCTGATAAGAGTTAGATGGTCATTCCCCAAACTACATGAAAACTGATCACTAAACAATGACAAATATTGCATAATAAAATTTGAGGCTGCTTTCTGATGGCTCAAATTCTGGTATTTGTAAAGTTTTGACCTGACAATTCTTTTTAATCCAAGAAGAAAAATCAAAAATGTTAAAAAGGTTCTAAATATTTTTCTAACATTCCTGCTGTTACAAATTATGATTGATGTTAGAAGCAGAGGTGACCCTCCCAATTTTTGCAGAAATGCCTCATCATAACTTCTGCACTGCAGACTGTTTCCAGCCTGACCTGAGTTTCTAACACACCTATCATCTGATTGTAGTCACTCGTACTGTTCTTTACCAGATACCCAGAGAGTAGACAATCTCTGCGTATCTCTATTATTATCCCTATTTCACTTATTTATAAGATATTTCTTAATTGGCTTACTGTTTTGTGTCCATTCTGACACGCTACATGTAACGCAGTTTGTCCCATGGCATCCTCCACATCCACATTAGACACATGCTGGACCAGATCATGCAGAAGCTCTGTTCTGCCATTAACTGCCAACCAGTGGATCTGCAGCAGAGGATCACATCAACACTTTCATTCTAACAAGCAGAATGAAAGTGTTTCATTCACAGCAGCAATTTGTTTGGAAAAGGCAACTTTATGCTAACAAAGTCAGACATCATTAAGTGTAAACAACTCACAGCAGTCAGGCCCTCATTGTTGCAGATATTGACATCAGCATTATATTCCAATAATTTGCCCATGCACTTCTTCTGTCTGAGGAAATAGTAGAGAACATGATTGGTTACACTTCAGTCTTAATGCACATATAAAGACTCAGGCCTGAGAGTCTAAACATAGTCGGTTCTCCTGAGCAACACGTCTAACACAAGCAGAGCTGTCGGAAAAAAAACCCACAATAATCCTTGTTCTCCTCTAAGGGAAATTGATTCAACATTTTTAATTCTGAATGCAATTAAATTCTGAATTTAATTGATTAAATTCAATGTAATTAGATTTAATGGAAGGAAGAAAGGATGGCAGTGATTAGTCATGTTTTACCCATTCCTAGCAGCTAGGTGCAGAGGGGTGCAGCCAGAGATGTCCTGATAGTTTGGATTGGCTCCTCTCTTCAGCAGCAGAACCAGACACTCCACTGACCCACAGCTGCACAAGAACACAAAGATTGTTACTAAACTGACAACTGTTTAAAAACAGAAGAATTAAAATTCTCATGTGATGTGACCGTACCAGAATCCAAGCCTAAAAATTACATCAGAGTGCACCTGGGAGCCGCCTATAGAAATGATGCCTTTAAACTGTATAGGAGCAGCTTGCATGTGGCTGAAGGTCCACCGTAGTGAATACTTCTGAGACTTATGAATGGAGATCTCAGAATTTAGAAGACGGATCCAAAAGTGTGTGGAAATAAATAGCTTCTCTTTATCATTGTCGCCATTCTAAAAACACACCTGCTACGTTTTACCTGTCATTTTTGTTACTGAAGTCATTTATTAGGAATGATGATCATTGATAAAGTCAGTCATCTGCTTCATAAATGATAATTGTGAAAAAGAAAACAAGTAAATAATAGGCTAAAAAATGTGAAATTGGTCCTCGTTTTTTGGAGAAGTTAATGGAAAATTAAAAATAATGACAGTTATATTAACATCATCTAAATGAACTCTTCTCTGCAAAAGTAATCCAGCCATAAGTATTGAAGAACTGGATGATTGAGAATATGCAATGATTTTTATGCATCTGCAATAATTTTTTATGTCTGCGAAGTTTGAAATATCTGTTTTATCAGACTTATTGGAATGATGAACTTAAAAATTAACTCTGCAGTAGAAACAAAGCTTACATGTTGGACTGTGTCAGAGATGGGAAAAGGTTTTCAAACCCAAGAAGTTATCAGCTCTCTGGGCAGGAGAACAGCCACAAAGGTTATTGCAGTAAAAACTGATAAATTATCAATGAATGAAGGATGACAAGAGGAACAAAAGCAACTGCTGCAAAGGGCCATATAAGGACCAGAATCAGTATGGAAAGGACATTGTTGACTCCTCCAAACAAACAACCCAAGATCAAAAATATTTTACGTGGATTTGGACCCGATGTGGTTTTTTTGACATTTATGCCACATTTGTTTGTATGTCCTTTTATGGACAAAAGTGAAACTTACAAGTCAACAGTGAGGAAAAACAACAACTTTATTCTCACATTGTTCGCTGTTTAAATTATTGACTATCTTACACTTATTTTAAAATAACCTTGTTCCTTGACTTGATAGTAAATAGCTTATCAAGTCATAGGATTCCAAAATGCTTTAGACTACAATCAGTAGACTGAGAATCAAACTGGCAACACATCACACTAGCCAGAGCCTGAGCATCTGGAAGCAGCAAAGAGCTGTACAGCTTTTTAGGTACCATAACTGTGATACAATTTAAACAGATAGAAATGTATTTGCTGCTTCCTTTATTGTGAAAAGAGAGGAGCAGAAACGTCACCATACAGCATCTTACTTGGCAGCAATGTGTAGCAAGCTTCTCTTTACTCGTCCAAAGGCGTAGTTCACATCAAATTTGGAGTTGAGGAGTAACTCTGACACAGACCTTTCAGAAAACGAAGCAAAAATAATAAAACAGAAAAAATACATTTTCTATGAAACAAAAATCTACCATATCATAACTTCACTATGCATAATCTATTGGTGAATCATGCTTCAACACATGCTTTCTAAACAAATTTTACAGTAGCACATAGATGGGACTCTCACCTGTGCTGGTCGGCCATGACCATAGGCATGAGTGTGTAGACTGCCGTCTCATTGTCTGCAGAAATGAATGAGGGGAACAAAGACAACATGAAACATTTAAATAGAGAAAAATCTCATTTAAGTAAGCTAATGCCAGACGGTCAAGTGGCATGTTTAGTATCTGTGCTAATAATATCGCAATAGTGCATTACTACAAAGAAAGGAATTTCAGCTCAGAATAGACTTGAATTACCAACATGAATTATGAAACATAACTTACGTTGTTTAATAGTTTTTGTTTGACAAGATAAATAAGCTGCCATGCTGCACCAGGGTCTTAGGTGCTGGATCAAGTCCGACCAGGTTCTTTCTGCATGACGTTTAGTTTTTCCCCTTGACAATGCGGATTTTCTCTGGGTACTCAAGCTTCCTCCCACAGTCCAAAAACATGACTGCTACTTTACCTGGTCTCTCTGAAGTTGACCTTAAGTATGAGTGTGTGTTCTCTGGACATGCCAGAGAATAATTAACAGTTACTGACTACAGGTTTGAGAAAACTATTAAAATTGAAGTAGTCAAGCAAAGTCAACTTAAAAATACCTTTGACCATGCTGACGTACCAGATAACAAGTAATGTAACCAGAATATTTCAATTATCTTGCACGAATTCTTTTCAACACTTGAAGCTTCTCTGAGTCAAGAGGTTTGTAGTTCTGTCAAAGTTTTATCAATACCGGAATTCCTCAACCAAAGTTCAAATTAGATAAAAAAAAATAAATGCTCCAGCATAATTCTCAAAAAGAAAGAAAATGTTGATAAACAATGTAATGAAACATACTTTTATGTGCTCAGTACCTGGTATTAAAAAAAAAAAAGAAATCAGTGTATAAGTTGCCAAAAGCCTAAATTCCTTTAGACAATTTACATTCCAGAAATGTAAAAGTTTCTGGAAACTTTTTTATCTAAAAGCTTCCAGAAACTCCTGCTTCCTGTCTGTTAAGTACATGAAACTCAGGTATCGATCATTTATTCAACTTGAGTAATTGAGTTTTGAAATGATGCACACAATTCTCTGAGATGTAATTAATTCTTGTATTATTATGTACTGTGGATTTCAAAAATGTCATACCCTTTGGACTTTTCTATATTTTTTTTATACTTTACAACTACATATGTAAATATAAGTCATTGGAATTTACTGTGAAAGACCAAAACAAAGTGACACCGCAGAGCGTCCTTTGCAGTGAGTGGGTAATGTGGAGGCATATTTTAAATTGAGGAATCGTGTTTTACTAGGCCAACATCCCACTACATTTATCGGGCACTTTGCTCATATAAGTTGCACATTTACAGAATGGAAATGCTTTCTATTCATAAAAGCACATTCCTAAGCTGGCATGACTTGACTCAGGGATATATTATAACTCTTTGAAAAATGTAAATTAATATGAGTTACAGCAACACTTAATTTCCCTTTGGGACCATTAAAATATTTTTGACCATAAACCATAATCGGCATGTTCCAGCAGATCAATATGATCGCTGAACACTCTCTCTGAATCTTTACATTGTCAAATTACACCAGCAGTGCCAAAGCGTTTCACAATTATGCAGCACCCCTCTGCACAGGTGTGATTGTCTACACCTCGTCCACATTAAAAGTCATCTATCTGACCTTTTGGGGGGTTAGGTTTAGGAAAAAGACTATTAGACAATTTTTCCCATCCTTTTATTTTATTTATTATGTGTGACTGTTGGCTTATTGCCTGAGGATAAATGTGATTCAGTTTCATTGTTTAAGTTTAACAATAGCCTTGCGACAGACTGGCGACCTGTCCAGGGTGACCCCGCCTCTCGCCCGGAACGCAGCTGGAGATAAACACCAGCACCTCTCGACCCTGTTAGGGAGAAGGGTGACCACAAAATGGATGGATGGAAGTTCAACAATAGAAGATTAAAATCATAAAACAAATATTGGGTTTGATGATTCTTTGTCTAAAAAGCAGTGAATGGAGTCACATTTCAGGGTTTTTAGATGAGTTTTGGTCCATGGCTGCCGCACATTTTCATATTTATTGAACTAGGTGCATAAAATGTGGTTTGGTGAGATTAGTACTCATTTGCAGGACAGAGGTCATTTTTTTTCCACTGTTGGACTGTTTCCAATTTAGTGTGGGGTTTCAAATCATTCCAAATCACTGTGTTTAGTGTTTTGTTTTTTTATCAATAACAAAATATGTATCATAAATGTCTGTGATTTGAATTAAATCATAACATCTAAAAAGATGAGTTATGATCTCCCACCATTCTTCAGTGTGTTTGGGTAACTGGACAATGTCAGAATGTGTGTATCGTCTCATACTTTTCTACATGTTCTCCTGCAGCATGCAGTTGAGTGGTCCTTTACGAAACTAAAAAAAACCTAACTTTCAATTTCCAGTCGAATATTTCCCGTATTTGACTGTTAATCCCTCTTTGATTGTCGTTCCACGGGCTGTCTCAGACTTCATCATCTATCAAGATATTTAACTCCAGTTCCCATTACTCTTTTATACATAAGATACTCTGGGTAATACCAAGTGCCTGAGATTTGTTATGATTTATTCTACGTACTGATATCTGTGTATATGTATATAAACATAAACATAAGTAGTAGGACAGATGTCTGTGAATGTTTAATAAAATGCAGTACATCATCTGCAAACAGAGTCATTTTGTGGACTGTTCCTTCTCTATCTGCTATTCCTGGAATCTGTAAACTTTGCCAAACAGCCTCCAGTAATGGTTCGATCCAAAGAGCTTAGCAAGGAGGTGACATTCAATCTGACATTTAGTCCTCTTCACACTTCAAAAAAGTCAGAGCTGTTACTTTTACATTTTTGACCTACTGTTTTCATAAAGAAAATTGAATGTTTTAACAAATTTCCCAGCAAAGTCCATTTTAATGAGAGTGTGTTCTAAGAAGCTCCAGTGTATTCTGTTGAACTCCTTTTCTGCATCTAAACCAGTGGCTCCCAAAGATTTTCCTCTGGGTCTATGGATTACAATAAAATCGCCCCCAAAAAGGAAAACAAAAAAGAATCTACTGGGCACACACATCGTTCAACCAGACATAAACCTATCAAAATACACATATTTTGATTTCAAACTCCACTGAAGTTTATTTCACACTTCAGGTTGCGACAAAACACACTACAAACCATTGTTACAGTGAAACACTTTTGTGTAACTGTTTTTTTTTTCCATTCATACTGCCTCCCCTGAACCCCTCTAGCAATGGCATTGCGGCCCATGAGGGGATGTGCCCCACACTTTGGGAACCACTGGTCTGAACTAAGGAGCATCAATGGTTCTTGTCTTGCCATTCTGAACTACAACTTTAAAGTTCTCCTCACATAATCTAAGTATTTATGTACTGTTTAATGTGTTAGTGCTGTGTGGGGGAGACTTATCCACAGTTTCCCTGAGGGTAAATCCCAAAGGGCTGAATAAAGTTTTTATCTATCTAATTTATTTGTTACATTTATAAATCCCATCTTATCTGGCTTAGTTAACTGTATAATTCTGCACTCTCGTCACTAAAATTGAAGTTTCTATTTCATAGTCAACATACAGGCGGCTTATGGTCAACAACCATAGAACCATAGAACTTTTTTTGAGTTCTTTCCATCTCAGAAGCTATTTAATAATAGCTTCTGAGTAATCATTAGGCAGATTCTCCAAAGCTAATGCATAATTTTAAAGTTTACGAAATATAGCTAAGAAATCATTTTTTAATGTTTTATAATATTTTCCTGAAAATCCATCTGTTCCTGGTGACTTATTTTCTAATTTACGTATATTTACTTTCTTTAAACTCCTTTTATTTGTATGCCAGTTTAAAATTTGCAAAGGATTCTCATAAGTATTTTTACTGTTGATGACTGTTCATGTCTAATATTCAGCAAAATTAATTGATATTAATTTGGGGCTTGTTTTGATTTTATTTTGCTCATACTTTTAATTTTAGGAATTACCTTTTTTATTGCAATGTGCTGGCTTTGTTTCCCATTTCAGAATATTTTCAGAGTATCCTCTGCTTTATATGTTACTAACTCATCCAGCTCAGTTCTAGTGTCCTTTATTTTATTAAGATTTTCCTGCCTTCCATGTTGTAAATGGTTCTTTTCTAGTGTTTTAATTTCCAATTCAAATTCCAGCTGTTATGATGTTCTTTGTAACTGCCAGGGTTACTACTCCAAGTTAACTGTAAAAGTTATAAAGGAGGACATCTGTCCAACCTATTTCAGCTTGGCAGGGACTCGTCTTCCAGTCAGAGCATTTTTACACAGCTCAAAGGAAAAAAAATAATGAGACCATCTTATGACTACAAACCATAAAAACAAAAACACTTTTGCACGGTTTCAACAGCTAATCGCAAGGCAACTTATAAGTCAGTACAGGAACCCAGTCAGGGATCTGAATCATAGTTATTGGTGTGTAACTAGGCCCCTCCACGCTGTTAGAATGAACACAACATGTTACCCTCTGGAAGTTCCACGGTTCTGGCCCGGCGGAGGGAGCGGGTCAGACGGCTGAGCTGTACATTAAGCTGCTCCATCGCCCGTTCCATCATAGGTGAACTGGCAACGCGTTTGAGTCGAGCTCGCCGTACCTAGTAGTTGCTAATAGAGTTATGCTGTTCATGAATCACGTCCATTGACGCCGACAGAAGACATACCGTTTTTCCAACAGACAAGCTGATTTACTGGGCGTTTAAATGGTTCATTCTGCCCGTAAACCTGGGTTGTTCCCGATTCTCATGCTTCCTGTTGTGATGACGTCTGAGTGACGCAATCTTAAAGTCAGAGAGCAAAAAGGTCGGCTCGAGGGTAACTGATCATTAAAGGGGCAGTTTTATGTATTTTCAAGGCACAATTAAAACGCGTCAGGATTGTGGAATGTTTGAGTTCATTTTCCCTTTTATTATTTGTGCTCTTTAGTTCTTTTAATTATTACTACCTCATTCCTTCCTTCTTAGTTATTCTAGTTAAGTTCTTGTGTCTACTTCTTTTCTTAGTTACTCAAGTTTTCACGATTTTTCTTATGTCAAGTTAATTTTTGAGATTCATCTCCTAGTCGCTCACCCCGTGTCACTTCCTCTCTCTCTCTCTCCTAGTTTGCCTTCTCCTTTCTCCCCACACCTGCAACTCATGAGCTGATCAGCTCATCAGCCCAGGTCCCAGTATTTACACACCTCATTCTCAGCCTCTACTCTCTGGTTAGTACCATGCTACCCTGCAACTTCTCTGTCTAATCCCGTGTGCTGTGGATCTCCTTGTTGGCTTTATTGTTTCTACCCTGGCTCTCTGTGATTTTTGTTAATAATGTTTTATATTAAACATTTATCATGAACTCACTGCTTATGCTGCTTCTGTATTTGGGTCCTACATTAAAACCACACCTTATCAATTGTTATAAAAAATGCTCCATACATCAAATATGACTCCAATGAAATTTGACTTAGAAAATTAGTATCTTTTATATAGGTCGTTGTCTTTTTAAGAATATCCTTTTCTTTCCAACTCTCGCATTTAGCATGTCATCACATTGTCCATCTAGTAAACCTTTAACTTTGTTCTTAGGAAGTATGAATTAAGCAATGGTGAGGAGGACTATCAAGAATGCAAAAAGAGAATATTGGAGAATTTTTTAGAACAATAAGGAAAGAAACAAAAATAGAACAAATTTGGAAAATAATTAAAAGAATGAATGGCATAAAGAGAAAGTTTGAATAGCCCTTTTTAAAAATAGATAATATAAATATAATAAAAGATGAAGTTGAAACATTGGTAAGAACATTTAGTAAAATTCATAGTTCCAATAAAATTAGTGAAGGGGGAAGAAAAGGAAGAGAAAATACCAAACTTAAATATAAAGATCTATTAGAGAGTGTTGAAGAAACAAATAATTTGAGTTTACAAAAGACAAATTGAGATATGCGCTTAGAAGACAACAACAAAAATACAGCACCAGGTAAAGATCAAATTTGGTATAGAATGACAAGACAACTCAGTGAAAAATCAAGACATAATAATACAATTGTATAATAAAATTTGGGAAGAGGGAAAATTACCGCTGAACTGGAAGGAATCAGTTATAGTAGCAATAGCTAAACCAGGAAAAGATAACTCAAACCCAGAAAATTACAGACCAATAGCTTTAACATCAAATCTATGTAAAATAATGGAAAAAAAGATTAACAATAGTCTAATATATTATTTTAATAACTGGGAAATTCTTGAAGAAATTTAACCTGGACCTGTCAAAGTATGCCCGTCGGTTGGAATCATTGCATAGTTTAGCTAAAGTATCATGAATAGCATGTGAATAATCAAAAGCATGTTGGCTTATATGAACTTCCACCATTCAGTATGTTAAAATTATTGCATGAGTTAAAATTAGCCAAAATGCTAATGTTAGCATGAATGCTGTCAGTCGCATATGGGTCATCTCTAGCATGTTGTCTGTCAATGACTTCCTCCATTCAGTATACTAAGCATCGCGAATAAGTAAGAAAAACAGGTAAAAGCTTTTTTTAGGAAAAAGGCTAATGCGGAGCAAGGCAGTGCATTAGTGGGAGGCAGTGAAATGTAAATGCTTGTAAATGTTTGTGCAATGAAATGTAAATGTTTAATGCTCTGCCTTGCACAGGAAGGCAGAGCATTAAAAGAGAAATGGAAGAAGAAATAGACATACAGGACTTAATTATGCATTTTTAAAAATCAAAAACATAATACTGGCAAATATGATTACTGTGGAAAATATGAAACAATAGAGCACATTATATTAGAATGTCATAAATATTAAAAAGAGAAGATATATGAGGAGAGAGTTTGAATGTATTAAGGAAAAGGTTAGTTTATGAAATATTTTGAGGAAGAATTTGGGGAGTAAACATTTACAAATAGTTATTTGATTTTTAAAGAAAAGTAAATTATTTGATCATATTTGATTATAGTAGGTGTGTGGATGATATAGATGGGTAGAATACAAAGTTATGTATAAGTATGTATATTTATGTGTGTGTGGGGGGGGGGGACGGAGTGTGTGTGTGCATGTTTGTGTGTGGATTCAGCCCAAAGATTGTGCCACATGACTACGTGCCATGGCACTTACCCAAAAATCTTCAGTTTCCCAATTTTTTAACATTTATTTATTCATAGAATTACAATTGTTAGTGACAGTGATCATTTCTGACACTTTTGCTTCAACACAGTATATTTCTGAAATGTATTTAATCAAAAGAACACAAGAGGGCTCTATCGTCTGACTTAGCAGGAAAAAACCGAGTAGATGGCAGATGACAAAAATGTGACGTACTACAGTAGTGATTGCTAAAGGAACAATGACAGCAGGTACCAAAGCTGAAAGAACAGAAATGCAGCAGAATATAATAAACCTCAGAAGCATTAGGAAAAACAGCTACACTAAAATATGTGGTTTAGTAAAGTGTTAAATACAAAGACCTAGTGACAAACATTTGTATTCTCTGATAATATTTCACATAAATTCCCTCAAACCAAGAAGTTGTTTTGGTTTTGCAAAAAAAATACATAGATTTTTGAACAGCAAAACACTCAAAAGTACGAAGAAAAATAAAACTCATGCTTTCTAATGAACAAACACTGTGTAAAAAGGATGCTTACAAATGAACACTTGAACACTTTGTTTATTGGCACTGGCAGGTATCAGTAAAGTAGTCAGGCTCTAAAGGAGGTGATAAAATGCTTGTGTTGCTAGTTGATCTCCTGATCCCTACACTTCTTTGGTGGAAGCTGTGTGCTGCTGCAGAGAGGAGACAGATTCTTCAAAAACATCGTCCTCCATGCCTTCTTCTATAGGCCTCATCTTCGTCGAAGATTTGGTTTCAGGTGATTTTTCTAGAAATATAAATATTACAATTACATCAATAAGGAAGAATTAGAATGCACATTTCTTACCTGGGGATAGAAAATGCAAAACTGAGAACTACTGATTATCAGCCTCAGGGCTCCTCGGCAGCTCTGGGAGTGTCATGGTTGTAGCGCATCTGACATCAAATTTTGAAAGCTATCTTCACCAAATTCACTTTTATCAGATGATTTGTTTCCTTCTTATGCAGATAATGATTTCAAAAATGAAAGAAAATGACACAACATATGCTTTCCATATATGCCATCCTTTCACCTGCATGCAGTTATGGTGAGTAGTTTCCATTGTTAAGACATTATTTTAAGTATTTATGACACTTGAATCCTTCATTATAATCTTTTTTATTCATTGCAGAATTCCTTTATAGCACTCTAAGGTAGTGACTTTTAATAAGAACTGGTTGTACAATTCTGAGTTTATCCATACAGGCTCAAATATATTGAGTGTCATCTCAAGAGAGCTGCTTTAATGTTACTTTTGTTTTTAAGTAGAAATATTTTTTAAAAAGTGAACAGAATAAAGAGCTCTAGTTTTGTCCTGTTTTCTAAAAGATCAAAGGAACATCATTGATTTTTCTGATTGAAATGTTTGCTTTTAGAATTTGCTTCTCCCTTCCCAAATGGTTCTATTATGTCTTCCTTTTTGTGGTTCTTAAATATTACTATCCATTATAAAGATAACCTTTAACCAGTCAGCATTAGGTAACAGCAGTTCCACCTAAAATTATTCAGATGTCAAATAAAAATGTTGGTGTTTGGTGATGAGGTCCAAGTTTCTGGGGCTGCACGGCTTCTTTGCCATCACCTAATCTTTAACTCCTTCCACATATTGTGTAACAATTCAGAATATTAACATTACTTGCAGCTAAAAAAAACAAATTGGTAAAATTAAATGATTATTTTAGCATAAGTCTAGCAGGGAGTATGAATAATTCTGGGTTCAACTGTTTCATGTTCCAGTCAAGCTCATTTTTAAAGTCACTGAATTCTAAGTAACATTTGCACAATATGAGAAACAGGACTTTGTGTAAAGAGATGTTATTTTTTCAGCCCACTCTCTTTTGTTCTTTTATCACTTAAATTGAATGTGGTTGTAACTCAATTCTTGATACTGTTATTGAACCAGAACAGAATCAGAACAGAACCAGCCCTCTTTATCAGGTTGTTGAGCCTTTTTATGTCCCTGGTTCTGAAGCTGCTGCCCCAAGACCAATGAAGAGATGATGCTCTCAACAACAGACTTATGATATAGTAAAGTCTTAAATTAAACTGCAGAACAGGACATTACCTGTCCAGATCACTACAAGAAAATTGACAAAAAACAGAAATATGAAATACAGCGGTCCCAATTCAAACCTCAGACTGAAAATCTTTTTACCTGCAAGTCACTTAAAGTAGCTCTTTTAAATACCAGATCACTTTGTTCTAAAGCTCTATTAATTAATGATTAATCACTGAGTATATTATTGATGTTATGTTTCTGACAGAAACATGGTTGAATGACGATAATGACCAAATTGTACTCATTGAATCAGCGCCTCCTGACTACAATTTTTTAAGTGAGAATAGAAAACATAAAAAGGAGGAGGCGTGGCTTCTATATTTAAGAAAACCATAAATTGTAGTAAAATTTCTTTGGGTTATTTCACATCTTTTGAGTATCTTGGAATTCAGGTTAAAGGCTTCAAATGAACTTTGACACTAACTTTATACAAAACTCCAGCATATGTGGAAAATGTCTTTACTGACTTGAATGATCTATCAATCATATGCATTGATTATGATTGTTTAATAATTGTTGGTGATTTCAACATTCATGTGGACAAACCCCAAGACAGAGGGGCAAAAAAGCTTCTAATATTTTAGAAAATTTGGTTTAACACAACATGTCACACAAGCAACACACACTCAAGGACACACACTGGACCTGGTTATCAGTGAGGGTGTGAATATTTCCAATGTCTCTGTAACTGATGTCGCCCTGTCGGATCACTTTGCTGTTATCTATGAAAGTTATTTATTCTTTGACCCACTTGGACAAACAGCTACTGTCACAAAACGTTCTTTCACAGAAAACATTTAATCAAATCTACTCTTCCTCCTCACCCCTTAAGCTCATAATTAGATGATTTTCAGTCTAAAGTTTCATATATCATTGATTCTATTGCTTCAATTAAAGTAAATGTTGTGTTTGGTAGGAAGAAATCTCCATAGAGAAAAGCACAAACAGTTCGACCTGCAAGACAACTCTGTCTCAGAGCAGAACCAAAATGGAGTAAAACTCAACTTCACGTTCATAATGACATCTATAAAGAAAGACTACGTAACTATCACTCAACACTAAAACATGCAAGGGAGGCTTTCTTTGCAGATGTCATAAACAAAAACATGAACAATGCTGGAGCTTTATTTGCAACAGTTGACAGGCTCACAAACCCTCCTATGACGTTACCACCTGAACTCAATCTAATGCTGATGGAACAAGTTTTCCAGCTTCTTTTCAGAGGAAATTCAAAAAATCAGAGGATTAATCTGCACATCAACTCTAAAGCCAGAACCACTGCTGTACCCAAACAACAAATACAGGAAAAATGACCCATTTTCAACTACTTCATTATAAAACCCTAGAAAAAATGATAAGTCAATTAAGTTTAAGCTCCTGCTGTCTGGATGTCCTACCCACACATTTCTTTAAGAAAGTCTTGCCTGTTATTGTTACTGATCTGATCCAAATAGTAACTCATCACTCACATCAGTTATTTTCCCCCAGGCCTTGAAAACAGCAGTGATCAAACCACTGCTAAAAAAGAACAATCTGGACAAATCACTACTGCAGAATTACAGACTGACCTCTGACCTCTGACCTCCCATTCATCAGCAAAGTTATTGAAAAAACTGTGTAAACAATTAAATAGTTTTCCTCATGATGACCAACTGCTTTGACTCTTTCCAGTCTGGTTTTCGTGCTCACCACAGCACGGAGACTGGCCTAGTCAAAGTATTCAATGATATTCATATAAATACGGACTGTGGGAGAACCACAGTGCTGGTTCTGGTTCTGTTGGACCTCATTGCAGCCTTTGACAATTTACTGAATCAACTGGAGAGTTGGGTTGGACTCTCCGGTTCGGTGCTCGACTGCTTTGAATCTTACATAAAGAAGAGGGATTTATTTGTTTCAATTGGAAACTTCTCATCAAAGAGGTCAAAGGTCACATGTGGGGTACCCTATGGTTCAATCCTAGGACCCCTCTTATTCAATATTTATATTCTCCCACTAGCTCAGGTTATAACAGGAAATAATATTAGCTACCATGTCTATGCGGATGACACTCAGCTCTACATTAAGATGTCACCAGGTGACCTTTGACCCCATCCAATCACTGAATAAATGTCTAGAACAGATAAATGTGTGGATGTGCCAAAACTTTTTCCAGCTGAACAAAAACAAAACTGAAGTCATGATTTTTGGACCTAAAGAGGAACGATCTAGAGCTACAGATCTAGAGAGCTATAGCACCACAGATCTAGAGTTATAGATCTACAGTCAATGCACAGCTTCAGTTATTACAACTAAAAACTAGCAATCAGCCTGAAACCTGGGAGTCGTGATGGACTCGGACTTGAACCTTCAGAGCCACATAAAGACAGTTACAAAGTCGGCCTTCTATCACCTGAAGAACGTCTCCAGGATTAGAGGACTAATGTCTCAGCCAGATCTAGAGAAACTCATCCATGCGTTATCTTTCTTGCATTGATTATTGTAACAGCGTCTTCACAGCCCTGTCCAACAAATCAATCCTCCAGCTGATCCAGAAGCTGCTGCTCCTGTTCTCACTAAAACCAGGAAGATAGAGACATAACAGCAGTTTTAAAGTCCCTCCACTGGCTCCCTGTAGCTCAAAGAATAGATTTTAAAATACTGTTAGTTTATAAATCACTGAACGGTTTAGCATCACAATACATCAAAGATCTGCTGTTGTTGTATCAACCTTCCAGACTCTCAGGTTCTGGTTCTGGTTCTGCTCTGCATCCCCAGAACCAGAACCAATAGAGGAGAAGCAGCTTTCAGCATCTATGCACCAAAAAATTTGGAACAAATTTCCAGAAAACTGTAAAACAGCGGAAACCCTGACTTCCTTTAAATCTCAACTAAATACACACCTGTTTAGAGTTTGATTTGAAATGTAATATGGAACAATGTATTGTTTATTCCATGATGCATGACTTTGTGTTTTTGTGTTTATGATGTAAAGTTCTTTGAAATGCCTTGCTGCTGAAATGTGCTATACAAATAAAATTTGATTGATTGATTAAATACAAAAGTCTACTGACAGCAGTTCTAGGTCTTTGTAGCAGCAGAAATCCATACCACAATCAGAACAGGCCCATGAAGTCTTAGATTCAGCTGGAACATTCAGATGTAAAAAAATGAGTACAAAAGTAAGAAAGCATGGACTAATGCTCCCTTGTATAAATTGTTCCAGCTGCTGAAAGAGGTGTAATGATACAGGGAATATTTTATACTGTTCTATTAGTTTCACCATAGCCTATCCTAGAATTATTAGTCACCTCAATCCAAAAGAAAATAATTAAAATCTTTGGAAAAAGTTGTTTGTCTTGCTCTGTTTGGCATATAAGATGATTACAGGATGCAGAAGAAGCCCTGCGTGGTTGTTTTAAGACTACAGGCAATATCCAGCCACATGGAGAGGACATCAATGCCTTAACTGATTATGCTACTGTCTATAGAAGCTTCTTTTTTCTGAGCCACAAAGCCACCATCCTTACTTTAAGTTTAGGTTAGGCCTGAGAACATGGTCGAGTTTCATCACTCTTTGTTCCAAAGTGGCAGGCGGATCAAAATCTGAACAGTGTCTCTGGAACTGATCTCCTCCATTATTGCTTCTTCCTCCTCACGTCTCCCACTGCAGGTTCAGACATTTTTCTCTCTCTTTGTCTTTCTCTCT